ATTCTGATTTTAGTCGTGAAATTAACCAAGAATTTGATACCCCGGGATTGAAGCGGCCAGTGATGAACCCACCCACAGTCATTAACTTGTTTCAAGAGACCTTTGGTATTTGTCTGTCAAGACAATTTGTTTTTTTTTTTTCCAAATACAGAATTTGTCAAGACTTCTTGCGAGCATTAATCATGAGGATAGTGGACAATTAGGGCATCTTCTTCTTAGAATTTGTCACATATTAGTAAGCGGGGAAAAGATATATTGAGAGGATTCGAATTTTAAGACTGATAGTTGAAGATGGGAAGAGTGTGAAGAGGGGTGAAAGGTAAAAATAAAATAAAATAAAATAAAAAGTATATGCCCTTGCCATGGGAAGCAATGCATCAGTAGATAAGATCAGCATTCATTTCACAAATTTATTAATCACAACTAGCATAAAAAAAAATTGACTGAAAAGCCAAAAGGCATGTGATCCCGGACTAATCTAGTGATTAATCTTTTATTTCTTTTAAAGCCAATTTTCTTCTCAATGCCAATGCATAAAATTCTATTTTGCCCGCATAGATGTGGAATCCAGTTAGAATACACAACGCCGACATAATTATGATTTATGATGCAAACGACAAGAAATCCACAGCTGCCATTTCTAATTAAATACGCCAACTTGGAATACTTTGCGGGCTAAAGTCCTAGCAATCATGTGCACGAATTCCTTTCAATTTCATTCATTTTCTCTAGTTTAATGTCAGCGTTAACACAAAACTAATACTATTTTTCCGTTTAATGTTAGCTTGACAGTGATTGATCGTGAAATCCATTCTTCGAGTAAGTTTTGGAATTTTCCCCAGGACACAAGTTTCTTCAAGTCCTTCTAAAGTAGAAGATCAATAATCGTGCAACTTTCTATTTTAGCCAACTTTTAACGTATGTTGAATTGATTTGCATGAAAAAGAATCTTTGCAACGAAGATTATCTAAAACTGTAGAATAAGGGAGAAATTATGATTAATTGAAAATGTTCCAAATAAAAAGAAGAAACTTTAGGTCAAAAGTTAAATTCTAAATGACACAACATTGAAGTGAAATTTGTCTTTCGCCGACTTATTTAATTTTCCTAATTATTATATATTTTCTAGTATTAAAATTTTGGTTTGGCTAGGTACTAGTTTTTTCTTTTCAAAAAATATAATTAATTTAGGAAACTATATAAATATAAGAAGCAATTATTGTGATTATGTGTATTGATATGGTAAACTAGGTGCAGTCCCAATTGAGTCGGGTGCACCACTCACCCGTATGGATTTAAAACAATTCTCATATAGAGACATATTGATGGGAGACAAGGTTTGAACCCTTGACCTCCTATCCCACTATTAATGTGGTTGTCAACTCCTCTATTGGGAGTTGGTTTACTATTCATAGTAACTTAGTTCCTTGATAATTGTATACAAATTTTGCATTCCTTATATATCTCTTTACTTAATTTATCTCATAGAATAATTAATTCAAAAAAAAAACTTGCAATTGTAGGGAAAGGGGGATAAAGGATGAATAGAAAAAGATTTTTGAGGGGGCAAGAATTGTGATATTATGAGTTTTTTTATTAAAATCTATGGTACAAAATAAAAATCTTAAAAATTTTTAGGGACCGGTTGCCCCTCTCCCCCTAAATCCATACTTGGTATGGGTTAGATTTATTGCTAAACATGTGTATTTTAAATACACAACTATAACAAAACTCCTCAAAAACACTTACAAACTATCCAAAAACACCCAAAAATACACCCCAAAAATTAACCCTAATACGCAAAAATACACCAAAAAATAAAACTCAAAACACGCTAGCTACTGCGACTAAAAAATTGGCTAGTCCTGTATTTCCTCCTTTATGTAGTAGTAGTACATTTTGTCTGGTAACGAATTACAAGGATGATCAAATGAATGTTCTTGTTATGGTGGTAGCCTCACATTAAGCCTCCTGAGCCAGATAGAGTGAAGAACCATATGCAATAAATCATACGGCTGAGCAGGTCGATGAAGAATAAAATGGCGTTGGACTTGCATGACCATCTTCTGCTTTTTCAAGTACTCATCCATGGGGATCGCTTGCAAGATAGACTTGAGTTCTGGTATCTTGGCAACTGGAACAGACACTGAAAACTGGCTCCAATCCAGAACATCGCTAAAAGGTGGAACATAGCCATCAGAAATGATCACAGGTACGCATCCTGATGAAATAGATTCCACTATTCTAGGACTTGCCACTTCATAGCCACTGGGACATAAACAGAACTTGGATCGCTCCATAAATTCGAAGTAATCTACATTTTCTGGGAGGTATTCATAGACTTGAATATCAGCATCCTTGTCTTTCCAGTATTGAATTAGGCTTCCCCTTACATGACCGTGATGTCCACCAGCAAAAAATGCAAGGATGGATCGTTGCTCAGCAGGTTTCCCCAAGACTGGTGGCCCTAGCCCCTCATAAGGGATTTTGATTTCTGGTAAGGAGACGTCTCTAGTAGGTTTGAAACCTTCACTAACGTTGGCATTGCAGAGCACTCTAATCACATTTCTGAACAGCGGATTGGATTTCGAAACCCAAGGCCCCTGTCGTAAACGTACAATTACTTACATGAAACATGAACGAAATTTGGAAAAAATTACTATCCAAACATGTGGTGTGGATTCTAAAATTACTAGCCACCGTCAAATTGTATGTATCTTGGCAAAAAAAAAAAAAAAATTATACCCTTTTGCACAAAAACTTCAAAGAACGGACTCTTTATCATGTGCCTTACTAGAAGATTATAAGAGAAGCCAAAGATGTTGATAAGCTTCTCAATTTGCAAATGGACGAAAGTTTATAGGGCAATAGTAATTTGGAAGAATGTTTATTCGTTTCGAGGACGAAGATTGATTCTCCTTACGTTCAAACAATACGATAACATAGCATTCATGTTACACATAAGAAAACAAAGATTAAAGAGAGTTAAAGATCTTACCCAATCATGGCAGCTGAGATAGAAATGGTCAGCCCCATTACTCCTGTTCCAATAGTAGTACTTGCTTGATATCAGTCCAACATAATCTACAGCAATAGTTTGGATCTGACGCATCATCGAATGGTAATCGCGTGGCTCGAAGAGGTACTGAACGATGTTGGTTATGCCAATGGGAATGAAGAATACCACCGCCTCATCAGGATCGCGAGATAGGAACGAAGTAAATGTAGTACTCGTAGAATTGTTGATGGCACCATTCTCCAGTTCACTGATGAACTGCCCGTCGATGGAGTAGATGTTGGTTCCAGGTGCAGCGTGGAATATTGGTGGCTCTCCCTCCTTGTATACCCACACTTTGAACCGTTTCTCCATCTCTAAGTAACTCCTACCAATGGATTTACATCAATTTTTCATCGCAATATTTGATTGATAAACATTAATCATGATTAGTTAGTGATTGATAAACATTAATCATGACCAGTGATTGACATGAACTCGGACAATCCTATCATTGCCTAAACGTTTTTCTTGAGTATTAGAATGACGTGATACCCTAATCATGATCAATGACAGGGTTTTTCATACTACATTTTTTGCTTCTGGTTTAGTTGTTATTGGGAGTTTAAATGCTGCAAAATGATATACTACCATTATAACTTAGACACAGAAAGAATCGTGTAAAGAGAGGAATCCGCTGGAAAAACGTAAATAAGTAAATAGTAGTTGCTTAACTGATGAAACGCGTGAGGATTTTTATAAGCGGATCCTGCAGGAATGAATCTGTGATGTTTATGAAATGCACAGGTACGATTGGTCCTTGCCGCATTATATATAGCTACACGAGCTCTTGCCAAGCTATCTTCTATTCTTGCAACACCACTACCAGCATGGTGGTGAGTAGAAAAAGTGGACAAAGAGAAGAAATGGTTTTGGTTATTAAGGCAAAACAAGAAGAAAATAAGGAAAAGAGATGGACATAGCAATGACGGAAAGTTGCAACTGAAGTAGGCCATGGATCAACATAGGTGATTAGCTAAAGGTTTTAATGACATCAGTTGCCATTTGCACTTGCCCTTTCTTTCTATCTATATATATATATATATATATATATGGGGAAGTTGTGAGTTATCAAATTTATTTCAAATAATTTTGAATGGTCTCTGGAAAATGGAGATAGCGATAATTATAATTATGATAACAGTGGAGGAATTAAGGGAAGTAGAATTCTAGTGAACAACTCTGTTAACAGATGATAAGCCATGCAGGGAAAGATGAAGGACATCTACAACAAACTTTTCCCACCAGCTCAAATTGAAGATTAACACCACACTTTCTCCAACTTTTACGTGATATATCAACCCCTCTTCTCCTATCTAATACACCACTTAAGATCCGACCTTTTGCATTTTGCAATATGAAGCCATGCTACCTAATTCGCAACGTTTAAATCTTAATATTTTGTGACTGACAACATTGTCTTCGAACATCAAATCGATCTAAATTCTAACCCTCTTCACGATGTATTTGCTAGTTTTCTTTAAAGGACACACATTAAGGTACAGTACAGTGTTTCCTCTTCCACATTTCGTATGGTTACTTAAACAAACAATCTCTTCTAGAAGAGATTATCCGTCTTCTTAGTCTTCGACACAGGAAAGGAAATTTTCTAAACCTTTTTTTGTGTCAAAAGAGTAACGATTCTTGATCCTGTTCATAACTTCAATTGTCTTGGCCTTAAAAAAAAAAAAAAAAGAGTCAATCGTCTTCTTGCATTTGCGTGGATTCAATACTAGGTTGATTTTGTGATATTTTCGGAAGGGATAATAGATATCTTAGTCCCAATATAGAATATAGTCCCTTTTGTTTTATCAACAAAAACACACTCATGTTCGTAAAATGAATGAACCAATTTGGTCCCTTGTGATTTTGACGAAACTAATCCAGTCCCTAAATGCATGTTGTTACTTGTTGGCTGCTGGCATACAGACTAGACTTTGCAGAGTTAGTCCAAAAAATCCTTACGAATCTGATATTTACTCCATTTAAATCTGCCTCGCGTAAAACAATGTGAGACACAACAATATATTTAGCATATCAGATTTCTGGAACAAAACAACAATCACGATCGAACTTCACAGGGCAACCTTTTCTCATTTTCACATGTTTTCTTTATCGGAAGAATCAATTGCCAGGAAAAGGACTGTATTCAAGCATAGTTGAGGCGAAATATGTCGTTCAACACGAAAAAGCTTCCTTCCACCGTGGGTATCAAATGAAACATCTGCATACCATGGACATACAAATGTGTTACTCTTCTACATGGGACAAAACCCAAGAAATGGATTTCAGCATCCTAAGAATAAAGTATCTTGTTATAGATGAACAATTTATGGAATAATCAAGAAAATGTTTAAAAGATAAAACCAAAGGGTGATTTTTTAAATGCATCTACACTCTACAGCAAGAATTAATTTTTTTTTTTTTTTAAAAAAAAGAGGAGTTCATGCGTACCTGACTAAACCTTAGAGGATGGTCCTCTCCTTGCAGTTGGAGGGTACCACTGACGAAGACTAAAATGCCTCCAGCAAAGGATGATGGTTGAGAATCGATGGTGCTAATTACGTGATGGCATTGCTGGAATGGCAATTGCACCAACTTTGCAATTATATTATCTGTCCCCTGAATCTTTTGGCCTTCAAATGTAAGCATGGAAGTTGGTTGGTACAGAAGAGCAAGAGAAGGTCTGTCATTATCAAACAGGTGGTAGTAATGATCCACAAATGCTTTCCCCACCATTTCAACTTGTTCTTCCATCTTTCCTTTTCTTCCCTCGGGACTTTGAGAATTGTAGGAAGAATAACTGCAGCAGTTGTGAAGATTATATGAGCTATGACACAATAGAAAAATGATGATTTTGATAGGTTCACAAGGGCAATTAAATAGAATATGCCGTTCAAGGCATCTCCCAGTCTGCTGCATGGCTACGCTAAGTTGTGAAAAAAGACATTATTAAATTTGGGGTGCGTAATGCGATCTAGCACAGAGCATCTGCCTGAAGCAAACCGACCCCTCTTCGTTTACAGGACTTTTTTGCCGCCCCAGAAGAACTTTATCCATAGAGATTGAAAAAGAACGTGTCGGGAGGAAAAACTGCTGTTTGAAAGTTGATTTCCCTCATAGGGAAGTCTTCAAGACGCAAAATGATCCGTTTACTTTCTTGGGGAAGGAATATATTCTTTATTTTGACGAGAGTTTGTTTTCCTGGCTGATGCTTATGCTAATAAGACTATCACCACATCCCAGTACATGGACCTTAACATCCATAAACATTTTCTGCTCGTAGATTATGTAGAGACTGCATCAACTTTGAACATTCTATCCTGTCATGCCTAACCAAGCACTCTCCTGTCCACAGAGGAAGGTTTCATTCATCACAAGTAAGTTCCGACTCATCATGGTGATGACCGACATGGCCTTGTCTAACTTTAAGAGCCCAGACATTTATATATGACGACCTCAATGGACAAAAACAGTTTTAACAGGGCTATTGAGAATGCACTGGGATGCATAATCACCAGAGGATTCAACCTCTCCCCGAATTTGATGAGCTGTGATTCAACAAAGGTAAATAACAAATTGCTTTATTCACCGTATCAAGACTTCGTAGACTACTATGATACAACTGCAGATCCTCCACTGCCACTATCATCATTAAAAATACAAGATTCATTCTTTAACTAGGTGAGAGAACATTGAAAAGCCAAAGACGTTATCACCAAAGAATGCACGTCTTTGACTGCCAAGTAAAAGCCTCTTGCTATTCACTAATTTCAAACTCAAGAGTCATGCTGGATATACTTATCTGCATTCCTCTCAGTGTGGAAATGGAGATAATGGATGACATCATTATCCATAAGCTATAGTTCATGCGGATACAAAATCAACAGCAACCCTAAATTAATAGGGTCATGCCCAAAACCACAATCAGTTTATCACAACTTATTTTATGTCCATGAGAACAGAAGGCAACAGATCATCTAAAACTGGAAGATAATTCCTAGGTGAACTTGTGCCACCATGGACCTGTAAGCCAATATGTAGGTCCCACATTCTCATCTCACAGTCCATGGTGGCACATGTCCATCTAAGAATTTAGCAAAAGACTGGACAGCAGGGAAAAGTATATCTCCAAGCAGCTACAAAATCATGTTATCAATGGCATAGCTTATATCCTTGTACCATCTTCTAACTGAGATGAAATGCAGAGTTACCATGACAAATTCAACAGAGATTATCTCCTCAATCTCATAATTCCTGGCGAATTAAAATGGACAAATAAGAAGAGAGTTTTTTTTTTGGGTTGGGAGGGGGGGGGGTGGGGGGCTCTGTGTGTGTGTGGGAGAGGGTGAGGAAACTACGGGCACTATAAGTAGATGCCTCATCTAATAAAGAAAAAAAATGAAGAAATCCATAAGCCATCCATGATTCCATTCAGCAAAAGCTTAAGGGTGCCAGGAAGCTCCTCCTTCAATTTAGCAAAGGAATCAAGAAAGAACAAAAAATTACAAAGAAGATAAGCTAAGAGTCACCAAATATATTGACAATGCCAATTAAGAATATTTGCTTAAGACATACAGAGTCTTTATCAAAAGTTGACTCATTGCTCAGAATCAAACCAAAATGGTTATGAATTATGATCAACTCAAAGCACAGTGAGCAACAAAATCAACTGAGATACCAGCTCTCAAATCCAGATTTTCCACCATCATCTTGTTCATGTTTCTTGTTTTTTATTTAAACACACCTGGAAAGGGGCATTCATATATTTATATACTTTTCAGCACTTTTACCTTTGCCAGTTAGGCACCTCTTAGAAAAATTTATTCCATTTCTAAGATCCTATAACAACTTGTCCAAAAAAAATCCTTACTATGCCTGTAATATAGTAATTGAGGATTGGGGAATTTTTTCTCCCTGCGGGCCCCCCGGGGGGGGGGGGTGTGGGGGAACATTTGGAAAACAGAGTTCGCAGGTTACTTATAATTACTGGAAACCTCTATGCTTTACTCCTTTAATGACCACAACTGTGTCGAATCAATAAGCATCTCAAATAAAGTAAAGAAGATATAAGAGTTGCACTTCATCTATTAGCCTCTACAACAGGACAAGGGGACTCTAAAACTCAATTCTTTGTGCCAAATGTAGCATAATTAACCCCCTCTCACTTTACCTATGCCAAAAGGAAGTCTTACCCTTTTCTTTAACCAAATTATAAACATCATCTAAATGTGTAAATTTCAGAAGATAGACCACGCAACAAGGACATCCAAAAGTATTTGACAGATTAGTCCCAGAATTACAAGAAAGCAGACATTCATCTATAAATACAAAAGAGAAAGAACTAAGACACAAGTAACTCAACAAGTTCACAATGTATATTCTAAAGCTAAACACGGCTGGGAAAATGCTTGTTGGAAACTCACTAGTAGTGAATGAAGCACGGTAGTATCCAGCCATTGCAAACATAAAATTTTTAATAAACTGTTTAAGGCATAGTATGAAATCAGTACGAGAAAAGGTTGCACATTGCCAGTGTTGAAAATTTCGACCAGCACATATAGTGCAGTCTCAGGTAGCGGTGAGGTATACATCCATCCTAAGTAGAAATAAAACAGACAATGTAAAGTCGAAATATTTATGTCGTCACTTAAATTTCCTTATCAATTGCTCTGTCTTACAATCTAAACTGGTACAAATCTCTTACCCAAAGCCAATGGCTAAGGCGCCTCTACGTCAATCAGCCTCAAATCAATCACCACAATCACTTCCAGCTTGTTGGCCAGTAAGCGTGAATACCATATCCAGTCTTCCAATTATCCAAGAAGACCACCTTCTGAACAGCCCAGAAGGAAACAAACATCACAAAAATCATCACCAACCTCTGAGCATTCCTATTCCTCACATAGACAAGCACATGAGTAACAAAAGCCAGCAACAATCCCACCACAGTGTACAAGAACCCAACCGCGAACCCTTCAGCTCCCAACTGCATCCCGGACCCCTGATAAAAGAAAACCAACTTCCCAGGATCATTCCTATCAACCAAAAACATGGGCATTTTCCTAATTATGTTATGCATTGACCCGGAGACACTGAAAAAGTAGACGAAAATCGCTCCGGTCATCCAAACGCTCTTATTGTGCAAAAGGGTGTTCCCAGAAATCACTTTTTTCACCAAGAATGGAGCCCAAATCAGAATAACAGCAACGAGAAACATCAATTGCTTCTTAGAAATCAAAGGAGGGCGATCAATCGGCCCAATGCTCAGCTTCGTTTTGGCCTCGACAAATTCAGCCATGGATTCGGCGAGCCTCGAGAAATCTGACGCATCCATCTGGAAGGAGTCTTTCTTGACATCGGTGGCTTCAGCGGGGATAAGTTTGATGTGGGGCAGAGAATTTACTCCGAAAAGGGCGAAAGAGGACTGGGATTCTTGAAATTCAATGTCGAAGAAGAACAGTTTTGAGTGAGAAGCTGGAGGGTTGTTGGCTAAAAAGGATTTAGAGACGAGGGAGAACTCGGATTTGAGAGACGGGAGGGAGAGTTCGGGTTTGGAGTGGAGTTGTTGGGCGTCAAAGAAGATGAGGAAAGTAAAGGGACGAGGAGCTGGAATGGATAGGATCCGTTTGAGGAGGGAATCAGTGAGATGGATAACGCCGCCATTGGGGGACTGGGATTGGAGGGATTCGAGCTGGGCGAGCAAATCCGAAGTGGGGTCTTGAGAATTGGTGGAGATCGGGAGGAGGGTGATGAGGAAGAGGACGACGAAGATTGGGGTTTTTGTGTAGGCCATTTTGCTGCCTGCTATCGTGGAGGAGGAATCAGGAAGAGGGTTTCAACTTCAACGAGCCTCCGGAGCCCAAGAGAACAAGGGAGCCTTTGCGCACTGAGTCAATTGACTGACTGGCTGGATTTTTGGAGGAAGCTGATTGGTGGAGAAAGAGACGATGAGGTGTATTGAATTTTATTTTTCTTTGTTTCCCATTATTTTAAGACCAAAATGATAGATTTTTCTTGTAGTATTTTTTTTTTTATTTTAAGACCTAAATGGAAAATCGTACTTTACTTTCTCCACCTTAATGAGTCAGGTAATTTGATTTCAGACCTGATTATATGTTTCTAAAAATGCAAAACTTTGAAGCACTCATTTAGTTAAATTGATTCTCCGAAAAAACTAGTCTAACTCTTTTGTTTCTTTTTGGTAACGTATGTATCCACTCGAAAAAAGAGTCAGAAAAGATAATACTAGTACAATTCCACTGATTTGAGGAGAAACTATATAACAACAAAGTGATACTGTGATGGGGAACACATGTTTTCCTTTCGAAACTTCCCTGCATGAGCCAGCAGGAGCAACTCCGGCAACACGAGTTTGTAGACGATTTTAGTTACCTAAAGGCTGCTCAATTCTGTTGAGTGTGAAAGCCTGGATCTCTCAGATGGAGGGATGCCTAAACATTAAAACGGGAAGAACTACCAAAATGCTAGCATGGTAATCCTATTAATCTCCAGCCAGCAGCTTACAATTCCAAGTGCTAATTAAGACAGGGAATATAGCTATATCCACAAAGGTGGCTCAGTAACAGCAAGCATTCATCCAAAGCCAGAGATCAGGCGTTTATATGTTCTTCCATTAGGCTTAAGACCCAATCTCAACATTTCATCATGCAATTTCATGGCTTTCCTGAATTCTTTCAGATAACAAAGCTCTCTGATCATGATTGCAAAACTTTCAGTGCTGAATATTTTATGCATTGTCATGTAATCAAATACCTCAAGGGCTTCTTCCACCCTACTTTCTTTGAAGAGCTTATTCAGAAGTGTGTTATATGATGGGATATCAAAATTGCCTCCCAACATCTTCATTTTATTGTGCAACATAATGGCTGAATCAATCTGCCTGCGAGAGCAATAATACTTGACTAAAGAGCAACAACAGTCAGCATCTGGCAGCAGCCCCTTGTCTAGAATCAAAATTAAGAGCTCCTCAGCTTCTTTCCACCTACAGTGTTCGCACTGAGCCTTAATATGTTCGGATAGCTGTGCTACACAAGGATCAAATCCTTTACCTATCACATCTTTTAGCAAGTCATGAATTTCTTTTGATGGTGTCTGTGTGCAAAGACCATTAACAAATGCATAGTAACAACTATCTTTCACCACCATTTTTCTCTCTCGCACAATACCATACATTCTACTAGCATCCTTCATTCTGCCATCATTGGACAATGCTCTTAGCATACATCCATAAGTAGCATCGAGCAATTCAACCTTCTCAGCACAGGCTCTATCAAAAAGCAAACCTGCTGCATATGTCTTCCCCAAATCAGCAACCTTTTGGATAATTGAATCGTACTCCAATATAAGACCTTTTGGTAGATACCCCTTGTCTTTCATAACTGCCATTACCACGTTAATCACTTTCTCATCTTGATATTTACAAGCAGCATCAAGAATCGAGCTATAAATACTAAAGCTTGGATCGAGCTTTTTATCATGCATTTGAGCTACATAATCAAATGTAGCATCAAACTTCCCTCTCTCACTGTAATTCTGAATTATCAAGCTGTAAACCGAAGGATTACATATTCCCATATCCAAAATCCTGCAAATTCTCTCAAATTTGCCGTCTTTACAAAGAATCCTGGCAACAACAGACCAGGTAAACTGATTTTCTGAGACCCCATTTCGAATCATTGAACCATAAAAACACCAAGCCAGTCTGACCTCATTCTTATCTTGCAGCAAACTTAGCAATGCATTACAACTATAAACTGAAACCGTACCGGTCCCCAATTTTTTAGCTTTCCAATAAACTTCTAAAGCTTCCAAAAATAATCCCCTACGGCAATAACCCTCGAGAACAGAGCATAAAACAGGGGAACACGTCTCAAAGTTAGCAACTTTATGAAAACAACTCACGATTCGGCCTAATGGGTAGTCTAGGATTATAGAATCCAAGATGGGTTTTGCAAGCTCGGCTTGTCCATACCCGACTAGCAAATGGGTCAGCTTGCACTGGCTTTTGAGGTCAGGTTGGAAATCAAGATTCTTCTTGGCCCAGTTGAAGAAGGTGAGGGACATCTGAGGGGAACTTTTAGTGTTTTCGAGGACTCGTAGGAAGAGAGAAGGGTGTAATTTGGTGAGTTTGAGGGTGGACTTAAGAAGTGGTGCCCAGTATTTTGTCTGTCTTTGCAAGAGGATAGACGAGACCTGGGTGGTCAGTTGGCTTTCTTGGACTCGTGTTCTCCAATTTGAGCTTTCTGATGCTGAACTTGAGAGGTTTCTGATCAAGATTTTATATTCTTTGGGGAGAGGCATTTGGATTTTGGTTCAGCGAGCTGAGGTTTCAAGGGAATTATATATACGTCGAGGAAACGAAGTTAAACGAGCGCCTTTGAGAATCGACAGCGAGGTTTGGTATACCCAAATGTGGGACTTAAAATATTTGATCACGGCTCAGTTTTGTCTTAGATTGATTGCCAATAAAAAACTGTTCACATAGTATTGTAAGCAGCAGGCAACCTTAGTACACACCCTAAATTTAGGATGAAATAAGTGAATTTAGCATCTGCAATTCCTTCGGAGTTGAACAGAACACTCGAGCAAATGAGATTTATTTGGACTTTTTCCATTGTACATTCTTGTTCTGATCTGGAACATTAGATTACTGAGTTGTTGAAGCGTAAACTTGCTAATAAATGCACACAAATCTTTGCCACATATGTTTTATTCAATCCTCAACATCCTCTCCATTGTACATACAGCATTATTCTCCGGTTCACATCATACTAGATGCTATGCCCAATAATGAGAATAGATGTGGCAAAGGCAATTTCATGGTACTAGCAGCTAAAGCAGTACACATTCCACTGTCGCGTCTAACATTAATCATCCTATTTCCCCTAACAAAAAGGATCATGGATTTGGTTGTCCTTTTCGGTGATTGATTTCCCTGCGCAATTACCTAAATGTTGTTCATGGGAATTAAGCATCAACAACCTCTTCAGTCTCTGCAGCTGCAAGGATTAGGTCTGGTTGAGCAGTATTGACTTCGCTTAGAGTTCCATCTAGAGCATTTGGCTGTCCCAATGCCCTCAATGCCAAATGTGCCGCCTTTTGCCCAGATATCATCATTGCCCCAAATGTTGGACCCTGCAACATTACAAGCCATTCTCACCAATTTTAGCACCATTTTCAACTTGTCATCAACAAATACGCAGCTACATTAGATATGAAAGAACCCAATTGTCCAAGATAACAAAAGGCAAATGATCTTAACCTATTGGAACAGTGGTAATTTTACTTCAACGATACCTATTCAGATTGTTTAACAGTATCCATTTCTCCACCTAACCTGGAACTATGTTGAGGGAGAACTGAGGTGGACAAAGCTACAACTTATCAGATGATATGGCAAAATTTGATTAGATGTGGTCTTTTGTAACCTAGCTGACAAGTTGAATTTGGAGCATAAAATTGCTAGGCCATTCATCCAATAAATATAATTATATGTCAAATTAAGAACAGATATAAAAGGTAGTCATAATTTAGGTAAAAGGCATTACCATTCTTGGGGCTCCGTCAATCTCTGCAACTTCCATGCCAGTGACAATCATCCCCGGAACGATCTCCCTAGTAAGCCTGACAATGGCATCCTCTGCAGTATTCATGTCAAGAGCCTTCATCCCCGGAACACTGTCAATCATTCCAATGCTCTTGAGCCTCTTAACCCCAGTGGCTCCAAAAGGTCCGTCATGACCACAAGAGCTGACCACCACTTTAGCCTCCATGACATTAGGATCCATGCAAGATTGTGTGTCATGGTTCATCGAAACCAAAGCCCAGTTGGTCACAACTCCAGCCACTCTTCCACCCTTCACAATCAAATCCTCAGCAGCAACAGCATTGAACAACTTCACATTAGGCCGAGCCAAGAGCTTGCTCATGATAGTGGAGGTGAACAAAGCCGCGTGCTTGATAACCACATAGTTATCTTGCTCATCATATTCGACCTCAAGCTCATCCAAGAACTTGTGAGCCGGTTTCCTCACAACCATGGCGGAAAACAACTGCCCACCAAGCCATGCACCGCCGCCAGGGCTAACAGATTGTTCAATAATCGCGACACGGATGTTGGGGTTCTTGCTGATCTCATAGGCGCAAGAGAGCCCCGCAGAGCCAGCGCCAACCACCACAACATCAGTATCCGCATAGGTGATCATGTCCGTCATGTATCTCCTAGTCATTTCTCGCGAAACAATGGATTCTTGAATTGGTTGAAACTTGAAGGCATCAAAGTTGTACTGTGGAGTGGATGCAGACATTGTAACCGAGAAGTTTTGCGGGCTAGACTTGACTGGCTGAACACGAGAAAGGATAGGGGAGCCATGGAAAGAGGACTTGGTCTCTAAGAATGATGGCTTAGGAGAAGAGGTAAGAGTTGTAGCCATGGTTGCCATTGAAATTAAATTAGTGGACGGAATTCTTTGCAAGAGGGTCTTGGGCGAAGGGTCAAGAACTTGGGGTGAAGAGCAGAGAGGATAGTGTAACAAGATTTATAGGGAGGAAAAAAGGTTGTCCAAAATATCTAAGAGAAAGATCTCGAGATGTGGGGGCAAAGCAGTGAACGTGTAGGGTTGAAGAAGAGAAGATAGAAATTGAACGATTCAGAACGGTTTGGTGCGATCGAGATCGTGGGGAATATCACATTATCACCAACAGATATTTACTGCGACAAGTCACCTGTCACTGTTGATTCCCTTTTCCAGCAGGCCTCTTGCTCCAATGTGAGAAAGGAAATGTGGTACTTGAAGAAAAAATGTGGGCCATTATTTAGTCCAACAAATTTATTATATTCACTTGCAGCTGCAGGGCCATTATTTAGCATGATCAAGAAGCAATAAATATTTATCTCCCAAAC